AGCCACTCGATTCGACTATAAGCATGCCAAGTTTGAAAACTGTTTGGTAATCCAAATTATAGTTTGAACCTTCCAAATGTGCTTCGGGTTTTTGATTTGGACTCATTTGGGCTCAGATTGAGTCGAATTTGGGTTGCTGGGTTTGTATTTATGATATGATCAATTAGACTATAAGTTTGCTAAAATCAGAATTCATATGATCTCCAATTTAATGTTTGAAGTTTCCAACTTGATTCTGCCTCGAGATTCGTGCCCGAACAAGATTATATTTTTGATGATATATCATTTACCCCCTTATTTTTGGACGTCAAAACCTACAGAGTGTGAAAATATATGCTACAATATTTTAAACTATTCGAATCACAAAAAAATATTGAAAATTTAATTTTCTAAAATTTAAAATTGACCAAATTGACTATAGAACACATTAAAAAAAAAACGGTTCTTATGACTCTAAAAATGCCCGATTTTAATTGTGCGGGCCGGAATGTATTTGGGACCAAACCGGCCCGCCAGCCGTCGGCTGATCTGGCCCGCCGAGGTGTCATTGTTATCTTTCAATTGTCCCAGCATTTTGATGATAACTGAATAGAAGTATATAATCCCAGCATTTTGATGATAACTGAATAGAAGTATATAATCCCAGCATTTTGATGATAACTGAATAGAAGTATATAATCCCAGCTATATATATAATTAATTAAACAATATAACTTAATTAAATTAAATTATATAACTACACAACTAGTTAGGGGTGTCAATTTTGGGTCACAGATTGGGTTCGGGTCGAACCCTAAATTAACTTAGCATTATTCGGGTCAACCCTAACCCGACCCGTTTTTGCAAACGGGTCGATTTTTTGGACCCGCTTCGGGTTCGGGTCAACCTAAACCGACTTGTTTCAGCCAAATCTTGCGGCTCTATTCAGCCAAATCCCACATTTTAAGTAAAAAATTTCGCCAAATCCCACGCCTGGCAGTGACTAATCCCGGGCAGCGAGTACGTGGCAGACGACGCCCGCGGGTAGCGGCTACGTGGCAACGCAGGCAGTCGTGGGCAGAGTCATTTTCCGAGTTAATCCAGATCATTTACGGGTTTTCGGGCAAACTCGAACCCGACCCATTGTTTTAAAATGGGTTGAATCTGAGAACCCAGAACCGATCCGTTTTGAAACTGGGTTGGTCTAACCCGAAATTTTTGTGACGAATTTGAGTCGGATTTTCGTGTCCTATCAAATATTGACACCCCTACAAAATGAAAGAAGGTAAGCATACCGCAAGAGTGAGTGATTGGTTATTTATTTTTTAATTTCTTAAATTATAGCTGAAAAAACAAAAACAAAGAATTTTAAAAACAAAACAAAAAAAAATTCAAAACAGAAATTGAGGAGGAGGCTAGTCATTGTAAGTTTTTTTTTTTTTTTTGTAATTTTAGAAAATTGGTCAGTCATTCACGGTGCAAAACTGGCTAAAGCTCCGTTTGTAACGGTTTTTTTACACAGCTTTTTAAAAAAGCAATAAAAAAATAAATAAGAAGTTTAGACTATTTCAGTTTTTTCTGCAACTTTTTCATGTCCGACGGTCGTTGGAACTGCTTGCAACTACACTTTTTTAATTTTTTTTTAATTTTTATTTCATTAATATAACTTATCAACATATTTATTTATAAAATTTGTCCAGCCAACAAAGCATGAGCACATGAGTCCGAGTCTTGGGAGTTTCAGAATTCCAGTCAAAAGCATACGTGTGGGTGCCAAAATATCCACTGTCAACTAAATAATTACTACAGTCCAAATTCGCCAATAATTACGATTTTGCTTGGGACGGCTTTTTCACTGCTAGGAACTTAGTTCCAACCATTCTTACCATACACGTCAGGCAAACAAACTTTTCAAAACTCGCCTATGATTATTTAAATAGAGGTGAAAGCAACTGAAATTTTCTTCAAGTTATTAAACATTAATATTATGTAACTGTTAAAATTATTAGGAGAGTGAATCAAAAGGATTAAAGTTGGATTAATATGCAAACAGTAAAAAAAAAACATTTTGGATTAAAAACTTCAAATTTATGAATGAGAGTATTTATTTGGAAATTAGGTAAAAATATAATTTTTAATTGTCAGTACATGTAATTTCACTTGTTTTAACAAATTTACAGGACTAATGCACGGTACTATAACAAAATACTTTTTTTAGCTGTTTCAAGGACTTTACTAAAATTCTTGCATCAGTTTTGAAGTCTTTTATTTATTTTTTAACTAATTTTATATTTAAATTAAATATGACCCCCGGCCCAATCCATATTCGAATCCCCTTTTATTCGGCATGACCTATTAAGTGAAGAGAAAATAAATGCGGGTCATGCACCTGTGAGCTGATTGCTGGTAAGCTCGCGGAGGGATTAGTTACACCACGAAGCGCCTTCTAAGAAGGTGACAGTGAGTACGTATATACCTCTGTTCCAAAATAAAATAAAATAAAAATATATTTAAAAAAAAAAAGATGGAATCATGAGATTCAATTTTAGCATTTGACAATCAATAATTGAATGTCACGCCAAAGTTTATCCATACTATAAATCTCATTATGTTATAAACCAACTTAAAAATTTTATCATTATTATGAGATATAGTAATGCATTCATGAATTTAATAGGAATTGAAATGCGTGAATAAAAATTAGTGGAGACTAAGAAAACTAGTATTTATTTTTTGATGTTCTTATTTATTAATTTGTTCTAATATTATCAATTGCTACAACAATGGTCCAATAAATATTCTATTATTACAAAAAAGCATTTCTGCAATCATATAAGCCACTGTTGGATGAATGATTGTACAATAATTTTAAAATTGGAAAACTCAGAGAAAAAAATTGTAGGTGAAATGTAAGAAAATTATGAAGAGCGGACGGACTTAATTATAATTTTTATCACATAATTTAATTTTTCATGATAATAACTCTAATAAAATAAATGTATATAACTACTAATATAAACTTCAAGAACAATCAAAATTCTCAACTAATAGATCAATATGAGATGAGTCTTTGTTCACTTTTACGAAGACTTAAAAATAAGCAAGAAAGACGGGAAGTGAATATACATAAGCTACCAAATCAATCTATTTGCTTGTGTCATAATCAAATTATTGAAAATTTGACAAAAAGATAATTAACAATTGAAATTTTATTGTGGATTTCAGCTTTTGGATAAGAATCTAAAAAATAGAGGAAAGGTACGTTAATTTTATAAATATTCAAACTTTGAATGATAGCTGTAAAATTACACTTCATGAATAATATTGAATAAAATAAATCTATATCAAATGTAGATGTGAGATCAAGGCCTAGGTAGAGAGAATTTTGGTGATGTACTTTATCAGTTAATATGACTCGAGCAAATAGGGGAATGTGACCATATTAGATTTAACCATGGTTACAGAAAAATGTAAAAGTGCACTGAAGAAGAAAAAATACAAAGGATTTAGAGTGAGAAAATTCGAAATCAAGAAAAAATCATGAATAAGAGTGGAGCCAAAAAAATTTATCTGGAGGCATAAATTAATCATTTTTAAAGTAGCCCTAATCTTTTTGTGGTGATTTCATTTAGAAGTTCATAGTCCGGTGGTGAAAGTTCAATGGTGGTCCGACGACAGTTGGGCGGAAGTCTGGCAGGGGTTGACGGCCGAGAGTTGGTCCGACGATGGTCTGGTATAAGTCTGGCGACGATCGGCGACCGGGTGGAGGTTCGCTGGCGGTGAAGCTGTAGCTCTTGAAGCATCAAAGCTCTCTTCAATCTCCAACCCTAGGGTCCCCCTCATGTAAAGAGTGAGGGTCTATTTATAGATTTGTATGAGTAGCACACCCCGTTAATATAAAGAAGATCTAGGACAGGTTCGGAGTGCCATCCAAATATTGCTTTGAACCTTCCAAATTTCATTTAGAAGTTTATAGTCCATTGGTGAAAGTCCAGTAGTGGTCCGGTGACGGTTGGGCGGAAGTCTAGCGGAGGTTGACGGCCAAGAGGTGGTCCGATGATGGTATAGTATAAGTATGACGACGATCGAAGACCGGGTGGAGGTTCGCCGATGGTGAAGTCATAGCTCTTGAAGCATCAAAGCTCTCTTCAATCTGCAACCCTAGGGTCCCCCTCATATATGTAGGGTCTATTTATAGATTTGCATGCATGAGTGAAAAACACCGTTAATATAAAGAAGATCTAGGACAGGTTCGGAGTGCCATCCGAATACTGCTTGAACCTTCCAAATGTGGTTTGAGTCCTCGACTTGGACCCATTTGAGCTCGGATTGGACCTAGTTTGGTGTTGTTGGATTCGTCTTTTTTAGACGTTCAGTTTGACTATAAATTTGTTGAAATTGCAATTCAGATGTTCCCGAATTTAATTTTGAAAATTTCTAACTTGACTATATCTTGAGATGCACGATCAAGACGATTTTTTGCAACGTATCAATTATGATAAATATTATAATTTTCAAACTTGCTTGCTAAAATAATATTTCTTACACAATTTTTTTTATTTGACATTTTCATTGCATTTGTGCAGCAAAATGAAATAAATAGCAGCGTGATTAAGTCCTCACAGCTCATTATTTTACGCATTAATTAAAGATTAAGAGTTCGTTTCCGACAGCTTTTTTAATGCTTTAAAACAGCTTTTCAATTAATTTTTTTTATAAAAAATTATTATAGAGTAAGAAAACTATCTAAAATAAAACTTAAATTTTGAGTCCATAATCAAAGAAACTTTAGAGTTATAAGACTCACCACAAATATTTTTATTCATTTTTAAAGCCAACTTAGTCCCAAACTCACACATTTGCAAACCCTAAATCTTCAAACTGATAATATTTTAGTTGAAAGTCTGAACTCTCAATCCTTAAACTAAAAGATAATCATGCTGCTTCACCAACACGTTTGAAACATTATCAAGGGCGAGAGAGACTTGAAGCCTTTGATTTATTCTCAAGCTGCATATAACTTATTTGCATATAGACGCAAGCAGACGTCGTGGTGGCTTTCCCGGCCTTCTTGCATGCTGAACAACCAAGTTATCGAGAAGCAAAACGTCACCTTTCTGCCATTTGATGTCAATGCAATTCTCTTCCAAAAGCTGCTCGTAAATGCCAAACACTTCCGAAGGAAAAGCGCTTCCGTCACCAAATTTGTTGGTCGCCATATTTATATTATCAGTGTAGCCATGAATTGGGATGTGCCACGCCCGCTTTCCCTCGTGTTCAAACACTGGATTTAAGGGACCGTAAACAAACTCTGCGCTGCCATTGCTGAAGAAGTTAAGTTTCTCGGAGAAATGGCTTTTTCTGGCCCTGTTAAAATATATAGAGAGTTAAATATTATTTGATGCGCTGCGTACAAAAACAAAGCTTTAGCAAAGATTTTTTAACTGCTAATAAGCTCTATATTATCATTTGCCACATCAAATATTCACAAACAAACAAACAAAAATAATTTCTTTTGTTGACAGATCGATCGATTGCTAGGCGGCATACCTTTTCTCGGCCTCAACCTCATCGTCGGTGCCCAGAAAGGATTTCCAGGACTGATTAAGAACGGTATGCGTGCCAGCATCTGCGTCGCTGCCCGTTATGCTACCATGAATTAATCCGACTTCAGCTATCTTCGCCATGAACTCCGGCATCCTCTCCTCCATCTTCTCAATGATCTCATCACTAGCGACTATCGACGTCTCCCCTTTCTCCGGCGATGGCTCACTGCAGCAGAAGATTATCTTCGATGGCATCGGCTTCCGCTGCTTATTAATTTACCGTTAATACTCTACAAAAATTCTTAACAGGCTATGAGGCAATTGATGTTTGCTTAAAAAAAAAAAATCCTGAGATCCAATATGGTGTGGGTAAGCTAAGATCGAATCGGGTCTTGATCTAATTCAGATAAGAAAATATCGAATCGGGTCTTTTTTTTCCTACTATAATTCTGTAACTATCCGTTGCAAACAAACAGTTTTTTTCCGCTTTATTTATCAAACTACTGTGCAATAACTTTCTTGTTATTTTGAAAAAAATTGATTTAACGGGAAACATGATTTTTTAGAGAAAGAAAATAAAAATTATAATACTTACATTATTTTTAAAAAATTATTTTTACCATAATATTTTTATTAAATTTGGATTTAGGTAATCTGCTAAAACCTGCTTGCAACCAAACATCCCCTAAAATTGTCTAAAAGCATGCGAGGGTTGGTGAGACAAATAACCAGAGACATCTCGTGGTGGAAGTTTATGAACAGGTCCACTGAAGCCTCGTTGGCGGTGTAGATGCGTTCGGAGAGCTTAACACGTGTGGTGCTGCCGGGAACAATTTCGTAGGCCTCCCACTCGAAGGCCTCCACGGCGCGCTCGAAGTCGTCGACGGAGGCCACGTCGAAGCCGCGGAAGAGCAGCGCGCGGTGCCGGCGAAGCGCGGCTATGAGGGACTCGCGTTCAGCGATGACCGACTTGGCGAGGTTTCGGTTGGAGCCTGCCGATGGGAGCAGCGTCTTCGGGAAGATGTCGTCCCCGATGAACTTCGCTTCTGCAAGGCTTCCTTCAATGAATGCCCCCATGTTTCTCCTCTTTTTCTTCTTCTCCACTTCACTCGTTCTGAGAATTGCAGGAGGATGTAGAAGCACAGGGATATTTTAAGCACAGGAAGGAGGGTGTAGAAGCACAGGCATATTCCTAATTACCTTCTGCTTAATTATTCTTATTTTTTGTGCTTAAAATAAAATATTGATCTACTCAATTCGATTAATCAACATAAATTATGAACATCAAAGCTAAAACAAATTAATTATTATTTTCAATGTGATTGCAGTAGATCAGTATGGTATTGCTCTTAAGCTTAAAATAAATAATTCTGTCATATTCTAATTGATCAAGCACGAATCTCGAGGCAAAATCGAACGGGAAACTTCAAAAATTAAAATCAGGAGCCTTCGAACTCAGATTTCAGCGAGCTTATAGTCAAACTGAGCATCTCGGAAATACGAACCCGATGACACCAAATTCGACCCAATCCGAGCCCAAATGGATCAGAATCAAGGACCCAAAGCGCTGTTGGAAGGTTCAAACTACAATTTGAGTTACCAAACGGTGTCCGATTTTAACGAGCTTATACTCGAATCGAGCGGCTCGACTAGAAAAATCCAACGAGCCCAAGATCGTCGAATTCTGACATCACTAAGGCCTTCAAATGTCCAATGAAAGGTGCACGATCGTAGGATTCAATATCGGCCGTCCATATATTCAACCACTTCCTATTCGCTCCTAATCTCACGACTATTTACGAGCTATATCACTCCAGAAAAACTATAAATAGAGCTCTCATTCTTCACAAAGGGGACCAAATGAAGAGAGAAAAGAAGAAGGGAAGAAGAAGAGAAAGGGGACTCCTCCTCGACCACCGCCGGAGCTCTTCCCGCCGCCTGAATACGCCGGAACTCTGTCGGACTTTCGGGAAATGACGGGATTCTGCAAAACTTTGTAAATTTGCTTCAAGTTGTAATCTGATCGTCTCGATTTGTGGGACGAATCAGTTTATTGTAATTTATAAAAACAATAGTGGAATTTTTCAGCTGAGCGTGGCCCCATGGTTTTTTCCCTCTTCTGGGTTTTCCACGTAAAAATTATGGTGTTCATTCTCTTTTCTGTTTGTGTGCTGAATATTCGTGCAACGCTCGGATGTGAATTTGTAGACTCTACCGCCGCGTATATTCTAGCCCACAACACTAATAAATTCAACACTAAAGCTGAAAGTTTAAAAAAGTTATTAATCTCTTCTCATTTTTGGTCTGTTAATTCCTTGGGAATTGTCCTTAATAACCGGCTAGATACCATGCCTGATTCCCCTAGCAACATCACAAACAAGACAATAAATAAATAAAACAATAAATAACATTAGTGTTTGGCCTGATATTTGAAAATTACAAAGTAGCATTGTAAAATTAAAATTTTCAATATTATGATTATTTTCTTATACTTTTTTTTTAAGAAAGTAATCATGATTTGCAATAATTGTTAGGATTTGAAAATAAACTACAAAATAGAACCTATTATAAGAAATTATGATCAAACAAATAATTTCTTAAATTTTTATTTTTTATCTTGCAATCTAACTTTTTTTAAGAATGAATCGCATTGACTCATGAAAATGTAGTTGCATTTTATTAAGAGATAAGGTTAAAGTAATGTTTTTAGTCATATCAATATTAATTATAATTTTTGCAATTTATAATGGAAAAATCATAACTAAACTATACTTTCATACATATATGTTATTTTAAATAAGATTGATATATCATCAAAAAAAGTATATTGATCGGGCACGAATCTCGAGGCAAAATCAAGCCGGAAACTTCAAAAATTAAATCTGAATCATCTGAACTCTGATTTCATCAAATCTACAGTCGAACTAAGCGTCTCAAAAATACGAACCCAACGACACCACATTCGACTCAATCTGAGTCCAAATAAGTTTAAATCAAGGACCCAAGACGCTGTTGAAAAGTTCAAACCACTTGAGTTACCAAACAGCTTCCAAACATAATGTGTTTATAGTTGAATCGAACAGCTTGACGAGACAAATCCAACGAGCCCAAGATTGTCGAATTCAAACATCATTAAGACCTTTAAATGTCTAACAAACGGTACAGTGGTACACGATCAATGAATTCAATATCAGTCGTCCACCCCATCACTCCCCATTTACCCATGATCTCTCACATATTTATGGGACATACCACTTTAGAAATCTATAAATAGTCAAGTGATTGCAGTAGATCAGTAATGTTTTTAGTCATATCAATATTAATTATAATTTTTTCAATTTATAATGGAAAAATCATAACTAAACTATACTTTCATACTTATATGTTATTTTAAATAAGAACTGATATATCATCAAAAAAATTATCTTGATCGGGCACGAATCTCAAGGCAAAATCAAGCCGGAAACTTAAAAAATTAAATCCGGATCATTTGAACTCTGATTTCAGCAAACTTACAGTCGAACTGAGCGTCTCAAAAATACAAACCCAACGACACCAAATTCGACTCAATCCGAGTCCAAATAAGTCCAAATCAAGGACATGAGGCGTTGTTGGAAAGTTCGAACCACTTGAGCTACCAAAACGGTTTCCAAACATAATGTGCTTATAGTCGAATCGAGCGGCTCGACGAGACAAATCGAATGAGCCCAAGATTGTCGAATTCAGATATCATTAAGACCTTCAAATGTCTGACAAACGTTACACGATCAATGGATCCAATATCGGTGGTCCATCAAACCACTCCCTATTTACCCATGATCTCTCACCTATTTAGTAGCCATACCACGTCAGAAATCTATAAATAGTCAAGTGATTGCAGTAGATCAGTATGGTATTACTCTTAAGCTTAAAAACAAATCTTTCTGTCATATTCTAATAAATTCAACACTAATGCTGAAAGTTAAAAAGAAAATTAATCTATTCTCATTTTTTGTCTATTCCTTGGGAATTGTCCTTAATAACCGGCTAGATACCATGCCTGATTCGCCTAGCAACATCACAAACAAGACAATAAATAAATAAAGCAATAAAATACCATCAGTGTTTGGATTGATATTTAAAAATTACAAAATAGCATCGTACACTTAAAACTTTCAATATTATGATTATTTTCTTATAATTTATTAAAGAAAGTAATAATGATTTGCAATAATTGTTAGGATTTTAAAATAAAATTCTATATATATTAAGGGAAAAACCGAAAAACTACAAAATAGTACTTTTAATCTATTATAAGAGATTATGATCAAACATATAATTTCTTAAATTTTCTTTTTTTTTATCATGCATTCTAATTTTCACATTGAATCATGAAAATATAGTTGAATTTTATTAAATCATAAGCCTAAAGTAATGTTTTTAGTCATATCCGTGAGGATCCCGTTCTATCGAGCCTTCCCGTATTGATTATATTTTTTGCAATTTATAATGAAAAAGTTATAACTAAAATATATTTTTTAATTATAACAAAATTATAGTTTCATACATATATGTTATTTTAAATTAGAATATATGACTGATTATTTTGTAGGAGTATCAAAATGGGTTAATGGATTGAGTACGGATTTAATATGAAATTGATCTGATATGAATCTAGTCAGCCTAATCTTGACTTGTTTGATAAATGGACAAAAAAAAAGTATCAAAATAGTTATGATCTCAAGATCAAATTTTGATCTGATGAAAACTCTTGGTTAATACAAGGCATAAATAAAGGCTTTAAGACCTATCATGGTTATTTTTTAATCAGTTAATTCTGATACAAATTTTATATTTTAATTATTTCTTTAATTTTTTGAATAATTTAGGTGCTTAAATATAAATTTAATTTAAATAGACTTCGATTCTAAGATTTTGATAATATTTCTTACATTTTTATCAGATAAATTATTTGGCATCATAGAAGTTTAATTAAATAATTTTATTAATTAAAAGAAATAAAATATTGAAAATATTTCAATAATTTCAAAAGCTTATTCTAACTAAAATCAGAATTACTTTCAGGATAGTCATAAGTTTTAAAATTGCTATTATAAATTTAGTTTTGAATAAATTTTATGGGATTTATATATATATACCACAAAATTTTTATTTATTAAAATATTAATTATAAAAAATTTTAGATTTATAAATCACATAAAAATATATTGATGTAGTGGATCGTCGGAAGACTCGGCCTGCAAGAAGGATTTTTGGCTCCCAATCCAGAGAGGAAGAAAACAAGCTTCAAAAGCTTCAAAGAGTATATTATATCATTCTCCCCTTTCTCTACTACAAAACTGGCTTATATAGGCTAAATAGAAGACTCTAGAAGAAACTTGAAAGAAGCACATAACAAACTAATTAAAATAGGTCTAAGGAGTAATTTAGTTAAGATGCTCTGCATCATTCTCCCCTTGCGTCAAAAGGGCTCGACTCCGTCGAGGCGTGTTGTCGGGAGGGAGATAGCAAACCTCCTGGATCGAAAATTTTGTTCTCATCATTTGTTGCAACTGCTTGTAATAAACTACCATTTCTGAATAATAAAATGTTAGATTGTGATTCCGCATCCATTTCCGTCATAGGACCAAAAACGTTCGACCCATTGGCTCTCTGAGTAACAACTATTGCCTTCACAACATATAATATATCTTCTTTTGGTACGTAACCAAGGGGTACTCCCAGCCGAGGAAAAGTGGTCTCCAGCCTGTGCATCATTCCCATGCTACCACGCACATAAATATTAAAGCCTTGCGGCTCTCCATCACCATCAAAAACTATAACTATACCAATATCATTGGTTATACTTTCCACTGAGTTGTCTGTAGGCACAGTTACAACTATCTTGAATTTTTGAGGCAAATACAATGTACCATAGATGGGCTTTGGAGAATCTGGAAAATTAGTTCCATTGGAACTATCATTCCGAGCTGCAATTACCTCAAAAGGCTCTGCTGACATTACCTTCTCACCATCAACCCAGATATCATAATATGCACCAGATTGTGGAGCCAAAAGTGAAGCGATATTCTCAGCTATACGTCTGACTCCATTTGCAGCATTTAACTTCTCTTCCTTCAAATCCAACTTCTGCCTCAATAACAGTTGCAAAGATTCATTCAGTGCTCTTGAAGTTTTGAACTGACCACACTTGGCATTTGTATCGTAGGAGTGTCAAAATGAGTTAATAGATTGAGTACGGGTTCAATATGTAATTGATCTGATATGAATCTATTCAGCCTAATCTTTACTTGTTTGATAAATGGACCAAAAAAAGTGTAAAAATAGTTATGATCTCAAGATCAAATTTTGATCTAGATGAAAACTCTTGGATAATAAAGGCATAAATAAAGGCTTTAAGGCCTATATATCATGGTTATTTTTTAATCAGTTAATTCTGATACAATTTTTATATTTTAATTATTTATTTAATTTTTTGAATAATTTAGGTGCTTAAATATAAATTTAATATAAATAGACTTCGATTCTAAGATTTTGATAATATTTCTTACATTTTTATCAGATAAATTATTTGGCATCATAGAAGTTTAATTAAATAATTTTATTAATTAAAAGAAATAAAATATTGAAAATATTTCAATAATTTCAAAAGCTTATTCTAACTAAAATCAGAATTACTTTCAGGATAGTCATAAGTTTTAAAATTGCTATTATAAATTTAGTTTTGAATAAATTTTATGGGATTTACATATATATCACAAAATTTTTATTTATTAAAATATTAATTATAAAAAAATTTAGATTTATAAATCACATAAAAATGTATGCTCTAAAGTATTGATTTTATTTTAAATAAGTATGTAATGTTAACAATATTTTAATATGATTTAAAAATTATGATATTACATAAATAGAGAACAATATTTAGATATTAGTTATATAAAAACATAAAAATTTAGTGATAGGCGTAAATAAAAATGATGATGGTGGCCGCTACTAAGATTACTCCTCACATGCATGGGATGGGATGAAGACTGATGTGGCTAGCCAATGAGCAATTATTACGCTCGGTCACTGAATGCATTCATAGACCAATAACCACGCGCCACATCACCTAAAACTCAGTATTGAGCACTCGGTACGTATTGCTCGGTATGCATTCGGATATGTTCATACTTGACCGGACGTAATAATTGCTCCTAGCCAATCCCCATGAACCGTTTGATTCACCTTGTTCAATATCTTTTAAAGATCATAGTTTTGTTATTATTTTGAGCTGGAAAATCAATTAAAATTAGGCATCTATTTTATTATTCTAAATTGTCTTCACACATACGCTATACATTTTTTTTTTTACTCCATAGGGATCTAGTGTGTGACGCAATAGTTAAATTTAGTTTCTTTCTCCCCTCACCCAAGCTCGAATACCATAACCCGCCTGGGAAACTTTTTTTTCTTATGATCTTAATAAGGAATGTCGATATTAAAGACCCACCATTATAAATTTTAGTTAAAATTACAAATATTAGAAAGTGCCACTAAATATTAAATTTTAGTTTATCTTTTCTTAATAAAATGTGATGAAGATCAAGTCATTTAGACATAATTCAACAAAAAGTGCTATAATCATATAATTAAAACCTCTCCTCACATATTTTTACTAGGAGTGGCATTTCATTTCAGGGTGGACAAATTTTGCATTTCATTTCAGGGTGGACAAATTTTGCATATAAATAGATTAATATTTTAAAAAAATAAAATGAGAAATCAAAGAAAAAGTATTATGATTGATAAATTAGAAATTATTATAAGCTTAATAATCTATTTTGCATTTTTTTATAATGTTACATTACAGCTTCATTGAGAATCAAATCAAATACATCTTTTCAATATAAGACATTAGACAGTTATTGAGCCTATCATCAGTCATTATATTACATAATTGATGTTTGACAATCCTCATTGCAAAAAATAGTCTCTCAATAGTAGCAGTATTAAATTTTAAAGTTAATACTAAAGTAATGATTCTATAAATCAGAGGATTCACACTATCCTTCTTGAACTTAATAATTTGCTTTGAAGAGAAGGAAGTCGGTGAACGTGGAGAAAGACTCAGGAGAGATCGCTTCGGCCTCGATCTCGCAAGCGGGCTTCTTTGTTCGCTCGTTCCCAAATAAGGTAGATTAGGTTTGTTTGGGTCATTAGGGCAAAATAACAAAGTTGCCTTCTCTCAAATACCCAAAATACCCCTAATAAAATTAATATATTAAAATTTTGATTGTTGCTAAAAGAGTAAATGTCATATTTGTTCTCAAAATGAGATTGTTGTGAGCTAGAATATACACGACGATAGAGTTATGATCCTACGTATTAGCTAGCGTTGTACGGATATCCAACTCACACATAGAGAACATAAGATTTTTACGTGGAAAATCTTGGAAAGGGAAAAAATCACAGGACCTGGCCCAGTTGAAAATTATTCCACTAGAATTTAATTAGGTTATAATGGGTTGACTCGTCCCCAATGGTGATCAGATTACAAATATCAACCATATGGTTGAAGTGAGGGGTAAATGAAAGTCTGACATCACTTGATGGTATGGTGGAACTTTAAGGTCACCCGGTGACCTGACAGAATTCTGGCATGGCTTGGAAGTTTGGATGTAAGTTAGTTGAACTATGGTGTTTGTAGGTAGCTTGAAAGAACTCCCAGCATCAAGTGGTGGTCTGACGGAGCTCATGGAGTCAAGCGATGGTTTGGGAGAGCTTAGAACATCAAATGGTGGTCCGACGGAGCTTAGGATGTCAGGTGGTGGTCCGTCGGAGCTTAGGACGTCAGGTGGTGGTCTGGAAAAGCTCAAGGCGTCAAGCGATGGTTCGTCAGAGCTTAGGACGTCAGGTGGTGGTACGGTGGATCTTAGGGTATCAAGCGGTGGTCTGGCGGAGCTTAGGATGTCAAGTAGTGGTCCGGTGGAGCTTGGGTGTCAAGTGGTGGTCTGGCAGAGCTTAGGATGTCAGGTGGTGGTTTGGCGGAGCTCAGGACGTCAGGTGATGGTTCAACGGAGCTCAGGATGTCAGGTGGTGGTCCGGCGGAGCTCAGGGCGTCAGGTAGTGGTCCTCCAGAGCTCAGGATGTCAGGTGGTGGTCCGGTGGAGCTCAATGCATCACGAGGTGATCCGGCGGAGCTTAGGATGTCAGGTGGTGGTCTGGAGGAGCTCAGGACGTCAGGTGATGGGTCCGACGGAACTCAGGACGTCAGGTGATGGTACGACGAAACTCCGGGCAATGGTTGAGGATGCAAGAGCAATCTTCGATCTCTCTCTTTAATCCTTTGGCTTAGGGGTCCCTTTTCAAGAGGAAAGTCGACTCTATTTATAGATTTCTTGGAGTGTCATGGCCTGTAAATAAGTGGAAGATCAAGGACAAATGGGGAGTGGTTTGAATGGACAATCGATGTTCAATCCCTTGATAGTGGACCGTTTTATGGACATTTGAATGTCTTAGTGGCGTCGAAATTTAGTGATCTTTGGACTCGTTGGATTCATCTCGTCGAGCCGTTTGATTCGACTATAAGCACATCATGTTTAGAAACCTTTTGGTAATCCAAATTGTTGTTTGAACATTCCAACAACGCTTATGGCCCTTGATTTGGACCCATTTGTACTCGAATTAGGTTGAATTTGGTGTCGTTGGGTTTGTATTTTCAAGACGTTCAGTTCAACCATAAGTTTGCTGAAATCGGAATTCGGATGGTCCCAATTTTAATTTCGGAAGTTTCCAACTTGATTTTGCCTCGAGATTCGTGCTCGATCAAGATAATTTTTTGAGGATGTATGAGAAATATATATCAATTATAATTAAGAGTATGTTTTGGACAGCTGCAACTTTTTATAAAGTTGATAATGAAATTATTATGAAGAGAAGAACTTCGCTACTAATATTACAAAAAACGGCTTTTCATTAGAAAAAATTTCTGAGAAAATAATAAAAATGCAGTAAGAAAATAGTGATCAAATAAAATTATAAATTATGTCTGAAAAATAAAATAGTAGAAAACTATCACAAACAAATCCTAATTTCGCACAACCCCTTAGAGCCATGTCGTGTGCTGCCCAAACAATTTAATAAAATCATAAAAATTTAAGTTTTTGGCATAAAATTTTATCATAAAAAAATTAGATATGTTATTCTATGGACTTATATATAGTGGGAAACTCTATAATAAAGTCATACGACGACTGAAAACTTCAACCCCAGAGAAATTAATTTAACAGCTAAATTCATCACAAGTGGCTCACATCAACCTCTTTTTTTTAACATTATCAAAGGCAAGAGAATTTAAGCCTCTGATTTATTCAAGCAGCTTTACAAAACTCACTTGCACATACAGGCAAGCACACGTCGAGGTGGTTTTCCTGGCCTTCTTGCATGCTGCACAGCGAAGTTATCGAGAAGCAAAATGTCACCTTTCTGCCATTTGATGTCAACGCAATTCTCCTCCAAAAGCTGCTCGTAAATGCCAAGCACTTCCAAAGGAAAAGCACTTCCATCACCGAATTTATTGCTCGCCATATTTATATCGTCAGTGTAGCCAAGAATTGGAATAATCCAAGCTCGCTTTCCTTCACGTTCAACCACTGGATTTGAAGGCCCAAAAATCAACTCTGCGCTGCCATCACTGAAGAAGTGAACAGTGCTACATGATAGGTTTTCTTTGGCCCTGTTAAAATATTTCTTTAGCTAACTTCAGCTTAGTCATTTGTCTTCAAAGACCATTTTGAACTAAAAAAACTGCCGATTTTTATTGTATACCATCTTTTAAGTTCACCGCAATCATTATTAGTTTTTAAATTATTTGAATAAAGTTCAAACAAATTATGATTAAGGTTAAAATCATATGCCGGAAAAATTTGAATATATTCTAATTGGTTTGAGGGTTTGGACAATATAATTTTTGCTGGTCACTATCATTTGGGGGCTGTGGTTATTTCTGTTGCTGTTGCGCCCCTCTGGATGAGTGGGTTAAACAGGAATCATCTGGTTTTTTTGGATGCTATTAATGTTAGCTCCTATGATTATTATAATATCTTTATGAGATCTACTTGCAGGAAGCTCTACACCGATCGTCATATTATATGCTCTATCTGCAAGGTAATTTTATTTTGGTTATTACCTTTTTTTGCCTGTTGTCACTGGTTTTTTTGCAGGAAGACTAAGCTGAATGTCATCATCATTAGTTTCCTTTTTTGGGTTCTGTTCACTCACAGACCTAGTTTATTACTTTCTTATTTTTGTAATTGTAGAAAAAGGAACCATCGGCTCATAGGTTTTGTTTTTCTTTTATTAATTGTAGCTCTTCCGAGCAGTAGTGAGCTAAAGGTTCCTTCTAAGGACCTTGTAACCGAATTTTTGAATATTAACACGTAGGCCCCATGAGTGGGCTTTAACCAAAAAAAAAAAAAAAATCTAGCATTAGGCGAACTCTATTCAAAGAATATGTTCATTTTCAACGATATATTTGAATATATTCTTTGAATAGGGTTTGAACAAGGTCAACCAAAGAATTAAAGGTTCAAACAAGCTTGGATAGAGTTAAACAAAGCTCAGATAAGGTTTGACTAGAGTTCGACTATAATTGAACCAAGGTAGATACAACATAGTGCATTCCAATATCTTAAATATGTCATATTATAAGGTTAATGCATTAAAGCTCATAGGATGAGCTAGGCAGTAGTGTCGTAGGTTCTTGACATTGCATAAAGAGAGGAGGGTGGAGCTAAGTTTGTTGATTTGACCTAGTTGAATGTGCGTAAGCATATAGGATAGACACCTTTAAGACAATTACCTTTAAAAGGATAAGTTAATTGGACTTCAAGTCCTTATGGCTTAGCTGACCATTGGTATTAAAGGAGATGAAACAAGAGTTGTGATTAGTGAGATATTGGATAGATAGAAGATTATAGGAGTTATTAGGAGCGTGAAGCATATTCGAGAGAAAAAAACTTACTGATAGGTCTCAGAAGGAGGCCTTGATCAATGGTGGATATCGGAAGGGATTGATTATTGCCAAAGATGACCTGTTATGTGTCATCTTATGTTTTGGAGTTGTGCATCTCAGTTGGATTTGAGGTGATGTGTAATGTTGCTCATATGTCCAAGTTCAGTAAGCCTAGTGGTTTGGTGAACTAACAAAGAGTACGTGAGTGAGAGGTTGAGTACCATAGTAAAGATGATTTCCTCACTGATTTGGAGAGAGTGAAGTTTTTGAGCTGCCTCTATGGTTAAATTGGTTTTATCATTACATAATGAAGCTTAAAGATCATCAAGAATTAGGGGTTCAAGATTTGGTTGAATGATCACCTTGTATCTTAATATGATGGTGGTAATCCATTCAAGGCGCAGGGGATGATGTCCTTAGGATCCAGCGGTATTTCCAGCAGCTATGATGGACTTGGCTTTGGCTTTGAAGACCAAGATATATCAGGTCATCATTTGGTCTTTCATGGTGATATGCTCATTCTTTGATTGAATGATATACAAGTGATTGGTTGATTGCAGTTGGCACTCATTCTTAGTTTAAATTTCAATTCATGTTTAAGTGTGAGAGCATATGGTAGGAGGCATGATGACATAATGTTATATAATGTTGTGTAAGATCACTATAAAAATTTTGATGTTTTCTGAGAAATTCATAACGACGGTTTGTAAACCGTTGCTATTGATTTGTATAAACAACGGTTTTCATCGCAGCTAAAATTATTATAATTTCTTATAGCATTCAATAGCAACATTTTAAAAAATTGCTTTAAAAAACATTTTTAAAATAGTCTCACGATCTCTCCTCTCACCCCATACCTTAGCTCTCGCTCTCGTGTCCGTCCCCCAGGCTCGCCGCCTTCTCTTTTCCGTGCCCTAGCTCGCACTCTTGGTATTCCTGTTGTTTGCATTCCTCAGCAGAAATCAGACTCCATGTTTGTTTGTCCTAAGTTTGTGACTCCCAGGGAATACCTGTAGCATGAACGGGAAGCTAATGATAGGGAAGCTGATGCTGGCTATTTCGACCGTGAAGCAATATAATGTCGGACAATGATGGTAGAAGCGAAGATTTGAAATTGGCTGATCGATGTTGCACGTGTGGAAAATGAAATGGTGTAAGAGCTTGAACTCGAGCCAAAACAACAAGTGGACCTCCAAATTTTGGCCAATGCATACAGTTGCATGTGTGATGAAGCTCTCTTTCGTGACCTTTCTAGTTGTGAGTTGTCCACCCAGTTTCGTGAACAAGTCAGTGAATCAATTTGAAACATCACAATTGTGGATGTTGATATATCATTGAATGATTATGCAGGTAATTTGGATAAAGATTTTAGGATGATTTTGAAGGCAATTGCAGGTATGAAAAATTTCTTGGTTTAGCCATTGATGATGTTAAGGGAGCAAGATGCTACACTCCAGGTGCATGTTTGTCTCAATGCCTCAAAGAAACATAGTGCACTTTTTCTCCTAATACAGTCCTAAATCCTCAGCCAATCTAACCTATAGCCACCAAACTCAGCATTGAGACAATCTGCTATATTTATCTGATAAACTATTTCATTCATTTTGTAGCTTTAAACCAATAACTATTTATACTATTCATGTGGAACAAGAAATTGTGATAGAGCATTGAGACACTCTTTGTAATTACTACATAATACTTTAATAGTGGTTTTAACACCTACTAAAAGTGCTACTAAAGATTCCTACAGCAGCACTCTTGAAACTGCTGCAAAAACCATTCCAACAAATGCAAGTACATCAATTTGTAGTTGTTCCTAAACTACTGCAAATAATTTAGCAGATGTTTAAACCATTGCAGTAGGTAAAAAAGTGTTGTGAAAGTCTGATTTATTAGTATTGGATTAAAGAATACATTATAATATTATTTTAATAACTACATCTAAGAGAATGTTCGCCAATTTTAAAGTTAACCATAATCCTCTAAATTTCCCAAATTATCACTACATACCAAAAGCCAAATAGAGATGATACAGCAGCCCCATCTTCTTGCCAATTTGCACCATTAGGTTACTATTCACTAACCGCAGTAAAGACGGATCATACAAGAAAAACTTTTTCGGAAAAAAAAAAAGGTGATCGATCGATAGGTGTGCATACCTTTTCACAGCCTCGGCTTCATCATCGGTGCCGAGATAGGACATCCAACTCTTGTTAAATATGGCTTGGGTACCAACTTCTGCGTTAGTAGCCGTTTTATTGCCATGAATTATTCCGACGTCGGCCACCTTCGCCATAAACTCCGGCAACCTCTCCTCCATCTTCTCAACGATCACGTCACTCGCAACTATCGACGTCTCCCCTCCCTCCGGCGATGGCTCGCTGCAGCAGAAGAATATCTTCGATGGCACCGTCGGACGCTGCTTATTAATTCACCGTTAATATTCAAAAAAATCTCAATTACTCGGTGATATTGATTTACGATTGTTTCAACTTTTTAATGGTTTTTTTTTTATTTACAAATTTTTATGGCTCCGGTAGCGTTCGGATCTAGAAAAATATTGTGGGTTGTGGCGAGACCAATCAAAATGTGCTATGTCACCCATGGCTCGATTCCTCTGACGTTGTGCATTATGATTGGTCTCTGAACTGCATTCTTCGTCTGATCTCCACACAAAATAGTCCTGATTTAGGGCATCTCCATTTGCTCCTTTTTCTCTCCGGCAAGCATCCACCCAAAAGACAAATGAAAATATATTTTGTCATTTTATATTTTATGTGAAGAGTGTTAGAAATGAAGTTAGATTGGAGATGAATTACTATTTAATATGATTGTTATTGTATTTTAAAGTGAAAGATAGGTTCTTCGGTTGAATATGCCCTTAAATAGCTAAAAATTCAATCAAGATTATTTTATTTGTACAAACACTTCATATTATTTCTTTTTTAAAATTAAAAAATTAAATCATATAAAAGATTCACTCCTCTCTTTTTTTTAAAGAAAATTTTTTGTGCAAAGTTTGGATGCGCCTAGACTTCAATAAAAATTAGTTACGTCGCATATACACAGCATATACATAATACACGCTATGTATACAAAATTGTATACAAATTGTGTAAAAATAAAATAGCCTATTTTAATTAGAGTTAGGATGCAAAGCTTTAGAATCATTTCTCCATTTTTTGGCCTATTCGGTGAGGAATCGTCCTTAATAACCGGATAGGTATCATGCATGATTCCCCTTGTAACGTCACAAAAAAGACAATCAATAAAAAAAAATATATATACAAAGAGCATCAGTTTTGGGGCAAATTATTGCGTCCGCTGTCCGGATTCGTCTGGACACCAATCCGGTGTCACAACGTCACCAAAATACATCAGAATCTAGTATATTTGAGTGATGTGGTGTCACCGGATTGGATGTCCGGACATCCGGTGACCGGACACAATAATTCGCCTCAGTTTTGGGCCGGCTGTTTAAATGTTACCAAGCATCGTGTAATTATATTTGTAAAAATGATGATTATTTATAATAGTTGTTCGAGGAAGTAATGATGCTTAAAATTGATGCAAAAAAATAAAAATTATAATAATTAATTATTAGGATTAAAAAAGTATATAATTTAAAAACTACAACACGGCACTTTTTTTAACCTATTTTGAGAAATTATGATCGAACAAATTAAAATATTTTAAGCTTTATTTTATTTCATAATCGAACCAAAAATAGTATTTTAAGCTTAACATTATCTTATAATCTAACTTTTATGGGCAGTTAACCTCACAAAAGCAGTAAATATGAGCATCAAGATCATGTGGTATTGTAAATCTTTCAAAAATTTTGGATTTCTTAATTTTGCAAATCTTTCGATAGTCTTGACATAAAAGTATTGGAACCTAAATTCTTTTTTGCAAATATTTCGATAAATTTTTAGGTGATGGTATAAATTTTTATAATCACACTTTTAAAAAATTAGTCATTCCAAACTTACCAAGATTATTTATACAAGTTTTATAAAGAAAATTGGTGGAAGAATTGAGAAATAATTTACCAGAGACATCTCGTGGTGGAAATTGATGAACAGCTCCACTGAAGCCTCGTTGGCAGTGTAGATGCGTTCGGAGAGCTTAGAACGAGTGGTTGTGCCTGAAATTGCTTGGAACGCGTCCCACTCGAAGGCTTCCACAACGCGCTCGAAGTCATCTACGGAGGTCACGTCGAAACCGCGGAAGAGCAGAGCTCGGTGCCGGCGGAGTGCGGCCACCAGGGATTCGCGTTCAGCGAGCACGGACTTGGACAGGTTTCGTTCGGAGACCGCCGCCGGGAGCAACGTCTTCGGGAAGACGTCATCGCCGATGAGCTTCGCTTCAGCAAGGCTGCCGTCAATGAACCCCATCTCTCTCTTCCCTTTTCTCCCTCTTCTGTATCTTCGTTCTGAAAATGCAATGCGGACTTCGGTTTTATTTTCGTTTTCTATTCAAAACATATTTTTTAAGTTTGTTTTTAATATAATATTTATTATTTATTAAAGAAATAGTAAAAGTACAAACAAGTTGAGGGATTAATGAAGCTAAGTTTAATTTAGATAGGTAATAAATTAAGTAATATATTTTTAATTTAATATATTATTTGAATAAATATATTTTTTGGAGTTAATTATGATTAATTATATTAAGTTTAAATTAACTTATGAATAATTAATTTTGTTATATTAATTCATGAGAATTATGATAATTTAAAATTAATCTATGTATAACATACAGTTAATTTAGGCTGGGAACAACTTAACTAATATATGAATTAATAATTAATTATATTCGTTAATGAATAACCATATTTGTTATTTTATAACACACATCATTATATTTGATACATCATCACAAAATCGTATTGATCCGACACGAATCTCAATGCATATTTAGTTAGCAACTTTCAAAATTAAATTTGTGACCATCTAAACTTCAATTTCAACAGAACTTATAGTTGTATTGAATGCCTCAAAGAGATGAACCCAACAACACCAAAATCGGTTCAATCCATGTCCAATTGGGTCCAAATCAAGGGACCAAAACATGCTTTGAAGGTTTGAAACATTAATTGGACGAGTAAAAACCTCCAAATATGACATGTTTATAGTCGAAACGAGCAGCTCGACGAGATGAATCCAACGAGTCAAAGATCATTTAATTTTGTTATCATTTTGGCACATAAATGCTTGACAAAAACACTATGATCGAGGGGATCAATATGAGCCGTCCGATGCAGCACTCCAAATCTGTCATAGATCTTCTTCATATTTACAGGACATGCTAATCTAAAAAATCAATAAATTAACCCCCAGTTCCCAAATGAAAAGGGAGCTTATAAGACTTTTGGTTGGAGATTGGATAGCACTATGAGGTTTCAACCACCGGCGAACTTTGTCCGTCAACCATCGCCGAACCACCGCCCGTCCGCTGACCATCATCAGATCACCTCCAAGCCACTGATCGTCACCGGACAACCACCCAGACGCCAACTATAATTGAACCGTCGCCCGATCGCTAACTATTGTCGTACCACCGCTTCTTAAAGCATCTTTATGAAGCACTAAAAAGCAGTCCCAAACCAAGCGGCTGCCATAATAACTCGTGAATAGCATTTACATGAAATTCTTGATTAGTAGTTAACTACAATTCTGACTCACTCATGACATCAAATATTTCTATTTTAAAATACCAAACCTTTAGGTTCCATTTTAATAATTAAAACTATTTCTTTGGATAACTAATTACTTCCCTTTCTTATCTAAACATTTTAAATGATTAACCGGCTCCTCATTTTCTTACTTAAATATTCAGAAGAGTGGCCACTGATCTAAAGAATAAAACTACATATAAGTATGATATATTATGTTATTAAATCATTAATTTTATCAGCATTAATCCGTTTACATAAGGGTAACTATGTCATTAATTCATAAAAAATCGTAAATTTTATGTAATGGTAAAAAAAATTATTGTACTAATTTTGGATAATTAATAAGGCTAAACAAAATTGTTATATTGTAATTCATTAGAATTACCAACACAGACTTAAGCTAGGTTTTGTCTGGTAAGCTAGCTTACAATTGCACTTGGGGAAACATGATTACCACTTGATCAAGCTTTTTCTAACCCATTTCAATGGACTAAGGTACAACTTGCTTTACATGGATCAAGCTCTTTCACTACACATCTAACCATATAGCCTAATCAATTTCTCAAATTTAACAAGTTAGGTGATTCATGGCATCTAGGAGTAGCATGTTATTATTTTGGAAGATTAAGAGTCTGTTTGGGTTGACTGTAACATTTTATAAAGTTGGTTATGAAGTTGTTGCGGAGAAAACAGTTTAGTTAATTAATCTCATTAAAAAAAGTAGCTTTCCACCACCGAAATTTGTTAAAAAAAAAACAAAGTGAAAGCCGTGATCAAATAAAATGGTCGTTTCTATTAGAAAAGCAAAGCAACAAGAAAGATAATACAAATAGACTCTAATGTTTCATTTGGAACAGTTTTCTTACTGCTTTCTAGAGCAGCTCTTTAGCACAAAAAATTTTGAACTAAATTTTTTTTTGAACTAAATAACTATTTTAGAAAATAGTAAGGAAGCTATCCCAAATAAAATAGAATTCCCAAATAGGATATCCACTTTTTATAGCACAATCAAAATATGTAACTATATACTTAAATGCATACCCCATGTTTATAAATTTTTATCTTAATTATATAGTTGTGTATTCAAATGTTTTATTTAATGCTCAATTAGTCAATGAACTAATGAGTAAACACTTATGCATGATAATTCTCTATAATACATAACTATGAACTTGTATTATGATATAAAATTATGATATTTCAAAAATATAATATTTTCTTTTCTACATATATAAGAGTTTGTAATATATGCAAAATTAAACATGTAGGATTTATTGAGTATATTACTATACAAATATTTATTTTAAAAATTAATTTTTTTAATATATAGTATATACTCGTGATGTAATGTAAAAAATACACCTATTTACTACATATTTATGATTTATGGTGCTTTTTCTTGAATATATATAGTCATACATTCAAATAGTTTGAATAAATACTCAATAAAATGATGAGTATACATTCATACATTTAAAAAATAAGTATTTTCTATTTTATACTTTAGTATTTAAATATTTTAATTAAATTCTCTATAAAATAATGATTATATGTTCATGTATTTAAAAAGTAAGAAAATTCTGTTGTGTATATATAGCTATGCATATTATATAAAATTATACATCTATATACTCCAAAGTTAAATTAAGGAGTTCTTCTAAGTAATTGCTATATACTTAGACTAATTAAAATAAACTCATATACATTTCATACACGTAATACTCAAATTGAAGATCATTAAGTTGATAATCAAAGCTCTCAATCAACAAAACAAATACGTGCTACCATTTTGCTATGAGGCTGATTTAAAAGGCCATTCCTTATAATGGTATTTACCTGGTTGACTTGACAATCTTGCAATTGCTTTAGGATATTTATGTTTTTCTCACAAAATGAAGAAGAGGCTTTTCTTTTTAGGCTTTATTTGAAATAATTTTTCTATTGTTTTTTAAAACAATTATTTAATACAAAAAATTTTAGTCCATGAAATTTTAAGATAATAAAGTTGTTCTAAATGAAGCCTTATGCTTAGTTTGGGATATATTTCTTACCGCTTCTTAAAACAACATTTTAGTACAAAAAAATTAAATATTTTTTTTTTTAAAAGTTGTTCTAAAATAGAGTAAGAAAGTTGTTCCAAACAAAGCCTTAGCATCACTGTAATGGCCTCCCCCTTGTGCTATGAGCACAACAGTAGACTTCATGTTACTGGGACTTAAGCATCACACTCTCAATTTGAAAATGAGAAATGAAATATTACCCTTGGAAGTAGGGGTGTCAATTGGGTCAGCAGGTTGGATTCGGGTCAAACCCGAGTTGACTCGAGCATAAACATGTTGACTCGAACACGACCCGTTTAGTTAAACATGTATGGATTTCTAGCCCAGACCGACCCTCATGGGGTTATCGAGTTGACCCGATTCGACTTGCGTACTCGAACTGGACGAGGTCAGAGGTGCCAGCCTGGTCCTTGAATCGCATCAGTCGACGAGCATGTAGGGCTTAGGTGAGGTTGGAGGCAACTTAGGCAAGGCCCATGCCATGGGGCTCGACCTTGAACTGGAAGGCCTGGAAGGCATGACCGACGTTGAAGGCCGCAACCCATATGAGCACACAAGGTTAATTGGGTCAGACGTTAGAGGTGTGTGCGAAGGTAGGGCACGACCTGGAATGCCACATGTGCGCGTGAGCTGGCTAGAGCTGGGGCTGGCGGTCGGGGTCGTTGACGGTTGGCAGGTTGTACGCGGGCTAGTTCGTGTTGTCGCAGTCCCACATACTAGGTCGACAGTCAACCGGGTTAGCTTGGTCAACTCCGGGTTATCGGGTCAAATCGAACTAGACTCGTTTTTCATACGGGTCAAAAATCCTAATACAGATGAGACCCGTTTCACAAAAGGGTTGACCCGAACCCAAATTTTTTATGATCGGATTTCAGATCATGTCAAATTTTGGAGAGATTATTCTGTGCGGATGTCAAACACAACTCTACATTCGGATACCAACTAGAATGAGCAACATCAACGATACCGACGCTCAGTACCGAGGGATACTGAGCCGCGGGCTTAGATATCTGGACATGTTCTGCTTTCGCACAATAATTTTTTCAACTTTTGACACTCCTACTTGAAAGGTAAACAACTATTGTATTCTTGTCAAACTGAAAATGTTGGATTTTTTTTTTGTTTATCCTATTGTGTGCTTGCTGGGATGTTTTGGCCTAGTGGGTATGCCGTCTCAAATTTTGGGATTGTTGTTTTGATATTTTCTAGGCAATGCGTGTGTCTTTCTCTGGAGTTTTCAGAATTTTTGACTTTGTTAAATCCTGCGTTTTGCCTTCCTCGGCAATTTGGTTTTGGGCTGGATGTCTGCTCAACCCATAACTTTTTGACTAAAATGTTATGGAAATATTTTATTGGCTTTTTCGGCTGTCCATATCTAATTATTGAAGAAACAGAGAGGAAGATAACTGAGATCAAGAAGAGAACCGGAAGAATAAATGTAAAACAAAGAATGATTTCATTACTTAGAACTGTACAGTTTACATGTATATATAGACATGAGAATATCCTATTGGCCAATGAACAAATGCCAGCTAAGCAGAGAAATTAAATACAACTATATTTATTTCTGTTTACACTTTAACATTCCCCCACAAGTTAATGGGTCTTCAGAGACCGTTAACTTGTCTCGTAATGTAACAAATCTTGGTGTTGATAG